TGGTACCCCTGAAACGTCAGAGGGTACTTCTGGCCTTGGTTTTCCAATGTGTTTAATCTGTCAATTTTGTTGTTTAGCCGAAATCCTCTTGAATGACATTGAATGATTCTTTCCTTCCTCTTTAACTTTTGGGGGATTGTGTGAATGGATTAATGGCTTCTAGATGGCATTCACCATCTCTGAGACTTCCAGAGAGAAGTCAAAACTCGAACTGGCTACACAACTGAAACTGATTTGTTGGTATTTTGTGGTATAAATGTGGACCGTTTCTATCTGGATGAGACATAGGTCAAAAGTCCTGTCCTAGGATGTGAGAAAGGGAGGCCTCCACATCTGTTCCTGTCTGCTCAAGATCCCAAGACTGTAAAGGTACTTGTTCACTAAAAGGGTGTAAATGTTTATTTGATGTTTGTATGTCTACTTGGGTATAATTATTTGTTCATATAAATGTGGAAGTATATTCTGTGCTAGGTTGGGATTTTGGAATTCTGGGGTAGATTTAAAAGGTATTTGTGGCTTTTCTAATCTGATTGGGACATTTAAGGGTGGGGCTCACAGTTCCTCAGGGCAGAGATTCCATGGGCCCTTCCCCCTGCCTGTGCTGAATTAAATAATGCAGGCCAGTGTCATTTAGCTTGCTGGTTAAAGGCCTTAGAATCTGTAAAGGTGGGCGGGAATGAAGCTGGTCTAATGTACTGAAAGGGTTTGGTACCTGTTGCTGCTAGCAAAGGAGGGGCTGATACCCACTTCTAGCACACTCCCTTGAAAGAGGCCTGGTTGCTGCTCTGCCAAAAAGGGAACTGGTAGAAAGACAAGAAAGCAGAGCCCTGTAACTGATAAACAGGGTTCCATCAGGACTTTGAAGTTCTCCAAGAGAGGAGGACTCTTTCCTTGAGAGGGCTCCAGAGGGCGCACGAGGACATTTGGTCGCGCCTCCGCGCCATCTATGGGACCAGCCCAACCCCAACTCCTCATCAGCACAGACCAGGAGATTGGGTCTACATCAGAAGGTACTGCTGGGAGACCCTAGAGCCACGTTGGAAGGGTGTGGTGCTGAAGACCCCCACCGCTCTCAAGGTAGACGGCGTCATGACCTGGGTCCATCCGGAAAGACTTCATCACCAAATAGAGCGTCGATCGAGATCCACGCAACCCGCTCAAGCTCAAGCTACGGCGTGCTCGACCTGCGTGATGCTGGTAACATTAAATAGATTTAGATAATGCCTGCGCCTTCATGGACACGGCTCCAAAATGACAAGGACAATTCATAGGATCACATGTCTAGTATCATGTTTTATTGTATTGATATGTTATATTGACCTTTAATTCTCTTGCAGGCTTGAGTGTGTGTTGGCTGTCCTGGAAGGGAACTGTGGGGGGTGACCCCCAAAAGCAAAGGATGCTCATCAGGTTTTGGGTCTCTGTTAAAAGACAGTTGACAGTTGGCAGCCTGTGTACTGCTTGCAGGCCTGAGTCATCATGCCCATGTCAGGGTTAGTAAAGCTGGGAAAGGCCTGTTTAGATAAACAGTCTAGAGCATGATTATACATAGAAAGAAAGTTTAATGCCAATAGTTGCTGTTTTGTTTAAAATCCATGAAAAGAAATTAGCAAGGAAAGTCAGAAAATCTTAGAGTAAATCAGTATGTTTTTCTCCTTATGTAATTCCTCCAAAATCTGGCTATGCTAAGTAAGTACGTTTCTTTGCATAGATTCAGTAAGACTGGTGCCTAGTAGTGGTTTTATTAACGGAAAACTTTGACTGGAGTATCATGTTTTAAAGAGCCCTATCTGAGCTCTAAAGACTTGAAGCCACTAAGAATGCCACGAAGAAAGCCTGGTATCCTGCCTGGGAGCCCTGAAGACGGCTGGCGCTGGAGCGTCAGGCCCATGCCCTACCATCACTGGCGGTTGGTAAGAGTAGAAGGGGAGCAGTAAAGATGCCTCTGCATCCCTGCAGAACCCCCACACACTCTGGGCCGCAACGAGTAGGAGGGCTACTGAGATGGGCCTTAAAGCCTGGAGCATGGGCTCAGGTGGAGTTGCTACAGGTGAGGGATTCACCTAACTCAGCAGATACTGCAGGCAGGCCTGATGGCAGCTGGATGGCTTGGCTTCCTGGCCCTAGGGGGCACATTAAGGTTCAACCATGAAATTCCAGCAAAGGTAGTCAGTTACCATTCTTGTTGTGTTTATGCAAACATCAGGACAGTAAATAAATTAATCTTGATTTGGCTTTTTAATAGCCATGGAGGAATTTTAAGAAGAAAAATCCTATTTCAATAGAAGTTGTTAAAGCTAAAATGGTTTCTTTCCCTTCCACCGGACCATTTGTTAAGTGTATAAAATAGCTCAGTTGATAGTTCTGTGTGCTCACTACGGGCCCCTAGCGACGGTGAAATAAAAGTGCAGTCCGTCTCATGATTGAGCCGGAAGTTCCAAGACAAGGGGGGAATGATGGGGCAGAGGCCATTCGCTCAGAAAAGTGCCTTCTTCCCGAGCCCAGGCCCCTGCTGGCCACGCCCAGGATTTAACAAGACCCGACTTGCGCCTGGCCAATCGGCAGGGCCCACAGCCGGCTCCCTTCCCCTCACTATTCTCACGGGGGGCACTCGGTTTCCGGTCGCTGCGGGGACTGGAGGCCCGGGTCGGGTTAGCTAACTCAATAAAGGACCTTCTGCTTTTGCATCGGACTGACTCCCTGGCATGGTTTCTTGGGGATCTTGAATTCTGGGCATAACACCCCCCACAATGGGGGTGTGACTGGGAGAACAGATGTGTGGAACACGTGGAAAACACCCCTCCTGCCATTGTCATCTCCCTGGTACTCAAGAAGCCCATTTGCAGCCTCCAAACCAGCCCTTGGAAGATAAAATAGCAGAAGAAATAGAAGCTGATGGGACCCTGTGTTCCTGCAGCAGTTCTGGCCTGCATCTTGCCTGCTCTGGGGGTGGGCGGGGGGATGGGGGGGAAAGGAGAGGGTTGTCACTCTTGCCCCTCTCTCTCCTGTCCTGGTCCATTTCCTGTCAGCCTTGCACTGCTGGCGGCCAGGTGCACAGAATCCGACAGTGGGCTCCCAGTGATCGCTGGCTCCTGATCCCCGGGGCGGGGGGGGGGGGGGGGGGGGACTGAAGAGTGGCTCCCCAGCGTCTTTAAGCGCTGGGAGGGGACTGAAACCCCGGCTTTAAGCCGGGGACTTAGGAAAAGGCTCACAGCCCAAATGTGAAGAGCCCGGGGCACACACTCGCTATTCTTTGAAATTTACCCCTGGGGTGTGAAACCCCAAGCGCCCCCCCACCCCCACCCCAGCCTGCTTAGGCCCAGGAGGGGCAGTCAGACCCTGTGCTCCTAGCCTGGGACTTACGGTGGCCCGCAGCCCCCTGTGAGTTCCCCAGCCAAGGCACCCCTCGGACCTCCTGGCTGGACACCAGGGGTTGCGGGAGGAGGCAACAGAGAATTCCTGGACAGAGAAAAGTCACCCAGAAAAGCTGCCCCCGCAGTGTAGCCTGCCCTCTGCCCTGTTGCTGCGGGCGGAGCCGGGAGCTGCAGTTCTGCTCGGGCTGCCTTGCTGGGTGGGAAGTCCTGCCCTAGCCCACAGCTAGCTTGGGAGTAATTCTCACAAACGTGACTGCCTGTCATTACTGCTTCTCCCACAGGTACAGCAGATAGAGAACAGCCTCAAAGGCACAGGTGCTCAGAGAAATAAAAGGGTTTGTAACCTGATCTTGGAAACTTGCTGGAAATAGAATTTGAACCCAGAAATGCCGGCTGGGCTCTTTTCTTTCTTAAGGGACGCGGTCTCACGCTACCAAGCCTCTTAAGACACCGAGGCTGTTAGTAAAATATGACAGGGACAGGTTACTGGCCCAACTGTGAGAAGCCAGTTAAAAGGCCAGACTGTCTACCCACGACAGACACGGGGTGAAAGCCTCCCAGAAGGTCAGAGGCCTCAGAATCTGCCCGGGGTCCAAGGCCCCGCACCTGGACAGCTGTCTTACCGTTTTGGGAGGAGTCTCTATCTCGAAGTCTCAAGACAAATGACCCAACACATGCTCTTCCTCGGGGAGCAGCCGCCGCCGCCACCCCCTCTCCCCTCCTTCCCCACTTCTTCCCCCACAGGCGTGCATCTCCGAAACTCTAAGGGGCCCCACGAGACTTGCAACCTGGGGAGCAATGGGCAGCAGCAGCTCGCCCCGGGCTAATCCCCGAACCTGTCCCCAAGGCCCCCTTTTCTCTGACTTCCCAGAGAGCCAGGGCGGCCCAGTCTAGGCTCTCTGTTGCTCCCTCTACGCTAAGCCCTTTGTCTCACTGCCCCCAGCGTTAATAAACGCTCCCTCATCATCACCTGGACTCCTGTTGTGAAATATTTCCTGCACGAAGTCAAGAACCCACACAGTACCAGCTGGCCCTAGGCAGACCCACTCAGAGCCGGTCCCCTTTCTGGTAACACCCCGCCATTCATAGGTTGCAGTCCTGATCCCCCCAGTATCTCAGAAGGTGGCCTTATTTGGAAATGGGGTCATTGCTGACGTAGTTAGTTCAGATGAGGTCACACTAGTGCAATACAGCTGACTAGTGTCCTTATCAGAAAGGGCACATTGGGAAACAAACACGCACACAGGGGAGACACCACATGAGGCCTGCAGTTCTGCAGCCACAGGCCAAGTAACCGCCAGACGCGAGGAGAGAGACCTGGACTGGCCCGTGCCCAGTGCCCTCAGAAGGAGCTGTGAGAGACATATGCCCAAGTCCACATTTTGCTAGAGGATTTTGCAACGACAAAAGTGAAACTTAAAAGGGAATTTTTTGGGCCCCTCGCTAACCAAATGGCCCCTGTCCCTGGGGATCGGTCCTGGTGCTCTCCAGGGAGCCAAGGCCAGCCCGCCCTTGGCTAGGGCGAAATCGGACAAGAGTGCAAAGAGCGAAGGCGGCCACAAGCGCGATTGGAAAAGTAGAGAAAGTGGCCACCATCCAAGGGGACAGGCTGGGCCACCTACTTACCAGAGCTGAGAAAGGGCTTGCTGCACAGGGGGCAGTGGGAGTGGCCAGAGACGGCTCCTCGCGGCAGCTGGTGGCCAGTGACACATTCCTTTCTCTCTCGAGCATCCTGATCCTTGTCCTTCAGCTGGACGGGGCTTTTCCCCTGTGGGGGACAGAGGAGGCACTTAGGATGCCTGTGTATCCAGGCCTACCTGGAACCACAGGGCTGCAGGGCCAGGGGCACTCTGACATGCCGAGGAGAGGAAGGCAGAGGGGGCCCGTGTCCTACCCCTCACCTTGTCCTTGTGCCTGGTGACTCGACTGCGCAGGGAGCTGAGTCTGCACTTCGCCCTGATGGTGCCCCTGTCACTCCTCTCCATCTTGCTGGCTCCATCCTCGCTCCTGAGGGGTGGGAAGATGGATGAGGGCGGGCAGCAGGGTCAGAGGCCGTTCTGAGCCAGGCCTGCACGCTGCTCCTGGAATCTACCTGCATCCATCTCCCTGTGGCCTCCTCCTCCTGCTTCACCTCTTCTATGGTCCTCAACTCTCTCCCTCCTTCTCTCACTCATCAAACATTTGAGTGTTTTGCTGTTTGCAATGTTCCAGGAACCGTAGGGATTGGGTTTGCAGGGGTCAAGCGACATGGTCTCAAGCTTGAGGTCCCTTGATGGGCCTGGGCTGGAAATCTTGGCTCTGCCATCTCTGCCTCCTCCCTCTGATCCACCCCTCCCCACCTCCAGATCGAATGAGCCTATAAATCCTGCCCATTCTTCCTGCGGGATTTCTTCAAACCCAGCTCTCCTTCCCTCCCCGCATCACTGCCATGGCCCCCCTGATTACAGGCACATCTTTATTTAATAAATACTTGTTAGGTCAGTAACAAACAAGCCCAGCTGGGCAGAACCTATTCCCTGGAGGGGATTCTGCACCTCCAGTCTGCACCCTGCCTGCCCCAGTCATCTGTGCGCACCATCCTCAGTCACTAGGCAGCTATGGCCTTAGCTTAGCAGAGGTGACCTGGTCCTGCTGACTTCCTCCACTGTCCCTCCTCCCAGCCCCACCTGACACCGGTCCCCAGTCCAGAAGGCACTGTTCTCCTTTCCCATCCTCTGATCCGGGGACTGGCGAACCCTGCCCTTCCCCCAGAACCCAGTTCAAGCTGTCACCTCCTCCAGGAAGCCCCCCCCCCCCCCGCAGGTGCATGAGGAGCCCCACCCTCACCCCTGCTGTTGCCCTTGGTGGTTCCAGTGAGAGGCGGGGGACCCAGCTCCTGCCCCCAGCCCAGGCCAGGCACGGAGGGCCGCAGGACACGCTGTGCAAACCCAGGGCTGGGCTCCCCCTGCCCCGCCCGCAGCCCTGCCTGCAGCAGCTCTGCTACTCACTGGGACAGGAACTCAAACCAGGTGAGGTTTGAGGGGGCTTCTCTGGGGCTGGCGGACAAGTGAGCCCTCTGCTGAGCCCTGCAGGACCAGAGGGGCAGACATGGGGTCAGCAGCCCCCCCTCCAGCAGCCCCTCCCCCTCAGGTGTCTGTGGTTGGTGTGCGCCCGCCACCATGGCCCGAGAGCCCACCCTTCCTCCACATGTGGGCCGGCATGTGTGGCCACTGGGGCATATGTTCCGACAGGAGGCAGGCCACGCCCGGGAGGCAGTGTTTGTGGGAGATGCATCTGTTCCCATCGCACGGAGGCTTCATGGGCCAGCGCGGCTCCCTCCTCCCCAGGGTGGCCCTGCTCTCTTCCCCTCCCACCGCCTCCCTCCCCTGTCCTGTCCCCATTCCTCCCCGTCTTCTCTGCAGCCTGTTTCCCACACCTGCTTACTCCCACATCTGGCCTCTCATACCTGTCCCTCCACATCTGTCCTCCAACCTCTTCCTCCAAACCTGTGTTCCCCACACTTCTCCACAACCATCCACTACGTCTGTCCTTCCCCACACTTGTCCCCCACACCTGTCCTCCCACCCCTGTCCCCTGCCGGTCTCCCTTCCACTTACCCATGGTACTGTCGAAGTTCCTGCAGTACCTGCTGGACCATCAGCCTGGGGCGGGAATAAAATAGCCCACAGTCGTCCCAGATTACAGACCCATCCCCGAGGAGCGGGGATGGCCGCACCTGCCTTGGGTCCTGAAGCAGACCCTAGCCAGGAGCCCGGCCCCCTCCTGAGGCCAGTGGGAACCTCTCTGAGGGGCCTGGGTCCCTCCGCTGGGAGAAGGAGGGGTGGGGGAGAAGGTGAGGTCACAGGGGACTGAGAGGCACCGTGGCTGCCAGGTCACTTACGGCCGGCAATGCTGAAACCTGCACACCGCCTCCCACAGCCTGGGCCCCTCGGTGGCCACCGGGCTTCCTCCCCGCGCGGGGCAGACACTCACACATGCTCTGGTTCCACGTGGTCCTTTCCCAGACCCTCCAGCACTGGTGGCTCCAGGCCTGGAAGTAGCCCGGCATCAGGAAGCACAGGTGTGAGGAGCCCCGCCCGCTCCCTGCAGAGACTGCGGAGCCGCCCTGCAGTGGGCTCCCTGGGACCCTCCCCTGCAGACCTGAGGTCGGCCAGAGGGCCTCGCCACCCTCAGGAGGAGAGGCGGGGAGAGGGAAGAGAGCAGGGGGGAGGCATCCCCAGCTTTTCACAAGAGCTTAGGATGTGCTAAGTGCCGTGTGTGTGTGTGTGTGTGTGTGTGTGTGTGTGTGTGTGTGTGAACCCCCAGTGGCCCTAAGGAGGGACACTATGTCTCAGTTTATGCAGAAGGCTGCAGGGGCTGAGGCTGGTCAGAAAGTGGTGGGTCTGGGTGTAGCCTGCAGGTCTGCCTGACACCAGAGAGACACACTCTCAGGACCCAGAGTTTGTCTGAGGCCGGCAGGGAGGCAACGAAAGAGACAGAGTCAGAACGAGAAGGGAGGCGAGGCCATGGCAGTGGTGGGGGCTCCAGACCCCTGGGGGAGGGGGTGGAGGAGGGGCAGATGCTGGAGGCTCTCCCGCTCTCTGGAACCCCTCCCCCAGGACCTCCACAAGCCCCACTGCCCTGCTTGGCCCGAGAGGGAAACCCTAGGCCGGGCTACCTTGGGCAGCTTGAGTGGGCACCTCCAAAGCCCGAGAGCTTTCCAGGGCGCTGACCTCATCCAAGGTCACGGGAACCGACTGGGACCTCACTCTCTCCTCCAGGCCGTCACCTTCCTGCAGGGAACAAGCAGAATGAGCAGTTCAGCTCGCTAAACCGGCCCAGAGGCTGCAGGAAGGTTCCCGATCAAGGGCTCGGCCCCAGCCTCTAGCACATGCAGGCACCCCAGGCACAGGGCAGGGGTCTCCCTGCAGCCAGAGGCTGGAGCCTCACCCTCCCAGAGATGCGTGGCAGCTCCCCTGCCGGGCCGTGGGCCGGGCCCTGAAACTGTGAGTGCAGGTTCCAGTACCAGTAGGTCTGCAGGTCAGAGTCAGAGCAAAGGGGCCAGGCTTCTCTCCCGGCTGTGGGCTGGAGTCCCAGACTCCCATCACAGACAGGCCTCCCTTCCGCTGCAAGGGCTCCGAGGAGTCCCCCCCGCCCCTGCCAACTGGCTGCACTTCTGGCCAAGGATCCGCTGCTGTGGGCCCTCCTCAGGGAGGAACTCGGGCCTGGGCTGCGACCTCAGGGCTGAGACTCCCCCGTCGTGGGCTCCAGCACCGGCCGCCCAGCCATGGCAGGTCAGTCCATGGGCGAGGCCCCCTTCCCGCCGCAGCACGGCTCCTGGGCCTGGAGCGTTGTGTCCAGGTGGCCGCAGGCTGCACCCACCTTGCCTGGGTGCTTCGCTGGGGTCCTGCCCCCAGAGAGACACTCTTTAGTCCAGGCCTGCAGACTCTCCCCAGGAAGGTTCAGGGCAAGGGTCGCCAGCGCCCGAGGGAGACACGGCTCCTCACTCACAGCGGAGGAGTCGAGGCTGAACCTGGGGGGAGTAGGGCGGGATTCAGGGCTCAGCAGGTCTCCACCTGCTGCCACTCCACCAGCTCCAGAATCTGGGGGTTTGGGAGGACCCGCAGATGACCCCTCTGGGCCATAGAGAGGGGTCCAATCTTCCTGTATCGGAGAGGGAGGGGGAGGGGGAAGGGGATGGAGAGGGGGAGGGGGAAGGGGAGGAGGAGGGGGGAACCAGGTTGGTGGATTTGCTGAAGCTGCCTGTGCATCACAGACCCCCCCCCCCCATTTTTACATGGACTGGCTTTCTGTTTGGGGTGAGAGGGCTGGAGGGGCTGGGTGGGGGTGGCTAAAGCACCCGCCTCCACTCTTTAGGGCTGCCACTGTGGGTGTGTGGAGTCGAGCACTCCTATGTGTCTTTAAAAAAAAATTATTATTGATTTCAGAGAGAAAGGGAGAGGGAGAGAGAGAGAGAATCAATGATGAGAGAGAATCATTGATTGGCTGCCTCCTGCACACCCCACACTGGGGATGGAGCCCACAGCCCGGGCATGTGCCCTTGACTGGAATCGAACCTGGGACTCTTCAGTCTGCAGACTCTATCCACTGAGCCAAACCGGCTAGGGCAATATGTGTCTTGATTCCAAGCGCATCTGTGGCTTTGAGCATGCATGTGCCACTGCCCTGCAAGTCGGACATGTAGGCCTATAGGTGTGGGTCAGAGTGAGTGAATGTGCGAGCCTGGGGGTGACGTGGGCAGCGGTGCACCCAGTGTGCTTGGGCAAGTGTGCACACCTGGGATCGCACCTTCCTGCGGTGTGTATGTACAGTGTGCTTTGGGGCTTGTACACACTTAGCACGTGTTTTCCATGCACGTGGGTCTGTGTGTGGGCATGCATGTGTGTCTTGGGAGGGGCTGCCTCTGCCGGTGCGGACACCCCTGGTCCTGGGAGGGTGTCATGGGAGGCCCAGTGGCGGCACCAACCTCTGCCAGCCGTCCGAGCAGCTGCGGGACCTCGCCCAGCTGCATCTCCGAGGCAGGCCCTGGGGTCCAGCTGAACTGGAGCAGGATGAACCACTTCCTGCTGCTTCGCTTGGGGGGTCACTGTCCCTGGCCGCTCCAGGCTGGCGGTGGGCAGGGGCCTCAAGGCCCAGGTCCTGGAGATACTCGCTGCCTTGAAGGGCCCCCCAGTCCAGGCTGAGGTCCTCTGTGCTTTCCCCGAGCTGCCCAGGACCAGCTTCCTCCTGCAGGTGGTGGGAGAAGAGCACATTGGCTGAAGGCAGCAGAGGCCCAAGACCCAGACCTGCCCATACCCCTCCTGTCCCACTTGAGCTCAGCACCTTCTCAGGGCGGGTGGGCTGGGATGGAGGCAGTCCCTCAGGCCTCTGTCTCACCTGGGCCTTCAAGCTTTATTCCCCCCAAAAGGGGCCGGAAGCCTGGGCTTCCACCTCCCTCTGAGTTCCCGTTGGACCCATTGTCTTCAGTAGCCCTGCCCTGCCTGCTCACCCCGCTCACTGTAAGGCTCAGGGAAGACCAAGGCTGCAAATGCCGCCTGGCAAGCGCCACGCAGAGGAGGGCTGCCCTTGCTGCGGGTGCCGGCTCCTCGCTGCAGGGCTGTTTGGGCTCACACTTCTCCTGGACCCTAAATCTCCCTGCCAAGCTGGCACTAGCCCAGGGGCGGGCAAGCTTTTTGACCCGAGGGCCACAGTGGGTTCTTAAACTGGACCGGAGGCCGGAACAAAAGCATGGATGGAGTGTTTGTGTGAACTAATATACATTCAAAGTAAACATCATTACATAAAAGGGTACGGTCTTTTTTTTTTTTTTTTAGTTTTATTCATTTCAAACGGGCCGGATCCGGCCCGCGGGCCCTAGTTTGCCCACGGCTGGCCTGGGGTGAGGCAAGCGAGGCATCTGCCTCAGGCACAGAACTGAAGGGGGAGGGGGGGCAAAACTCAGGAATCAAGATAATATTTTAATGTAATTGTTAAAGCAACTCAAAAGTAATGCAAGGAGATTCATGAACAAATTCTCAACATTTAAGGAATCACAGTACTAGACCCTGCACCCTCCTCGCTCAGCTCCCCATTTCTGCCCCCTCCTACCAGAGAGGACTCGGGGACATCTGAGCGGTCAGTCCTCCACTGCCGTTTCCTCCCCAACAGCCCCTCAGCGCAGTACGAAAGGCTCCAGGGTCAGCGCCTGCTGCTTCTGGCCCCTGGGTAGCCTCAGGTTCCCTCCCCCGCAGGAGGCAGCAAATGCCAGGCAGGGTTAGACACCAGACACGCAGATGTGTATCCCACAGCAGCTCCACCAGGGGGCAGTATTTTCCGGGTCAGGAGACAAAGCGGCAGGGAGGAGAAAGGACTAACCCAGAGCCGCGCAGTCCATAAATAGTCCAGCTAGGCTCAGACTCAGGTCTGTCTGGATCCAGGCCCTCTGTTCCTTCTTTACTCGCTGCTCTCTACTCCTTTCCCCCCACTTCCTTTGCCCTGCTCTCCCTCCTCCCAGTCATTCTGTTTGTCAATTTTCCCAGCCAGGACACCTGCCTTTTCTTCTTCTTGGAGACCCTTTTCTCCCAGCCCACTTAGAGTCAGCCTGGTAAACTCCTATTCATCCTTCAAAACCCAATTTTGGCACACCCTCCAGCCTATTATCCCGACCCCTTGAGGTTAGGTAAGGTGTCCCTCTGTCCCTTTCCCGGCCTTTGTTAGGACTGTCTCCAGGTCAGTGTTTGGTATCTCAGGAAGCCCTTGATGGACTGCCCCAATGGGTGGCCTGAAGGTGTCCCTCTGCATGAATTCTGCAAGAGGGCCCTAGGATAGGATTACTAGATAAAATACAGGATACCTGGTTAAATTTGAATTGTAGGTAAACAACAAATACATTTTTAGTATAGGTAGACCCCAGATGTTGCAATGGTTGATATTTAAATCCAACTGGGTGTCCTGTAATTTTATTTGTGCAACCTTGCAACCCTACCCCTGGACCATTTGGCACGGCCTGTCTTTTTACCAGGTAAGGGAGAACAGAGGGATTGCTGCTGAGTCTTGGTGTGGGGACGTTTCCAATTTGAAGTGGAAAAATACCCGCTAACCGAAAGCCAGGCTCTTGGTCAGCTGAGGATCTTGGCTGCAGGAGGCAGCGGCGGTGGCCACACTGGCCTTGGAATAAGGGAGAGTCCTGCAGGCCTGGCCTTGTCTCCTGACTGCAGCCACTTGGAGCTCTCTACAGTCTGACCTCTCCCTTGTCATTCTTTGTATTATGGCAAAATATACACAGGAAAATTTACCACTTTTTACCATTTGTAAGTTTACAGTTCAGTGGGATTAAGTGCGTTCACATCATGTCACCACCGTCCTTCTCCAGAGCTTTCATCCTCCCGAATAGAAACCCTGTCTCCATCCAACACTAACACCCCTTCCCCGCTCGCCCCTCCCGACCCCTGGGGACCTTTACTCCCCCGTCTCTGTGGCTCGGACTCCTCTAGGGACCTCCTATAAGTGAAGCCACATGACACTTATCCTTTTGTGTCTGATTTATTTCCTCTAACCTAATGTTTTCCAGGTGTATCTGTATTCTAGCATGTGCCAGAATTCCACTCCTTTTTAAGGCTGAGTAACAGTCTGCTGTATGGAGGGACCACGCGGTACGGGTGTAAACAGAGCACATGGTGCACATCCATCATCCGCTGGGGGGAACTTGGGCTTCTCCACGTTGTGGCTGTGGAGGATAATGCTGCTTTGAACACGGGTGTGCCAATATGTTTGAGCCCCTGCTTTCACTATTTTTGGGTAGGTATTCAGAAGTGGACTTGCTGGGGCACGTGGTCATTGCATTTTTGGTTTTTCAAGGACCTGCCACACTATTTCCCAGGCCTCCTTTCTTCCGGCATCTCTCCTTTGTGCCCATGTCTGCCTCCCTCCCACCTCCCCAGCTGCTCCTTCTCTTCTGCCCTCTGTCCTGTGCACACCAGGGTCCCTTCTGTAGTCTCTGTCCGAATGCCTGGGCCTCCTGGGACCTGGGCAGCGGCCTCCTTTCAGACCCCCAGTCCCATCCCTGCGCCTGCACAGCCTCTGTGATCGCCTTCCTCCTCGCCCACTGCCCCAAACGTGTCCCTGTGGCTCTGGCCTTCATCCTCCTATAAATATAAACACGCCAGGACAGCCTCTTGGCCTGGGCTGGGACTCTCCCTCTCTCGCAGCTGGTGTCCCTCACAGGAGGCAGCAGCGGGCAGCCGGCCAGAGCTGGGGGTGGCGGGCTGGGGCACAGGGTGCCCGCTCCCTGCAGCAGGTACACTGCTAGAGGAACAGGCAGGGGCTTCACTAGGGACGTACACCTTTCCTCCAACATTTCCTGGGTGAGAACAAGTGTGAGCTGGCCCCAGGGGGCCTTTCCAGGCCTCTGACTAACACTGTAACGGGCTCAGGCTTCCGCTCTCTGGACCACGGAAAGCCTTGGGGAATGGGCTCCCCATTCAGACCTGGAGGAGAGATACCCCCGGGACCCCCTGCAGACGGGCTTACTGCGTGCAGATTAAACAGTGCACCGACACACATGTCTTTAACAATGTACGGAGTTGTTTTCTGCTTTTCTATTAGGGAAAGGAGCACACCAAAGCGACTTAGTGCATTTTGTGTCCCTTGTACCATCTCACTGTGGCAAAAGGGAATCGGTTTTAAATAAAATAGCAAACAAATACCAGGGCAGATGGTTCTTGCACGGCAGCCTGGTAGATAGGTCTTACTCCAGGTCTGCAGTCCTGGCATGGCTCTCTTAGCTGGCTCAGTGTCCCCACGGCCAATTCCTATGGACCTCAGTTTTCTCATCTCTAAAATGGATAGAATGTTGCCTTCTAGTCAGATGGCTCTGCAGGTAACATGAGATGAGGTTTACACATTGCAAGTGCTCCATTAATGGAAGCAGGTACTAGGTTGGTTACTGTTTTTATATTCCAAGTTTTATATTTCAGGAGTCAGGGCCCTTTCTCTGGGCAAGTCACACTGTCCCTGGCTGCCTGGAGTGGACTGGGGAACACTGGGGATTAAATCCAGCAATTATAATCTGTGATGTTCCAGGAAGTGGGCTGGGGAAGGACTGAAGGGAGCCCCCTGACCCAGTCTGGAGGAGCAGGAATTCTAGATTGGAATTTTACTTAGAAAAATCTCTTTTTAAAAAGTGCAAACCCCAGGGTAATCATTGGCGTGAAGACCTACTAACTGCAACTTAGTTAAAAAAAGTTAGATAATCTTGAGACAGCTTCCATAGCCAAAACTAAACCAAAAAACCCTAGTTCCAACCACATAAAATAGTCTCCACGTGACATATAAATTATTTCTTTAACTGACCATATCAGTCAAGTTTCATACATTTTATTTACTTACCTATTTTTTTTTAAATTGACTTTTAGAGAGAGAGGAAGGGAGGGAGAGAGAGGGAAACATCAATGTGTGAGAGAGAAACATCAATTGGTTGCCTCCTGTGAACCCACAACCTGGGCATATACCCTGACCAGGAATCGAACAGGCAACCCTTTGATACAGGGGACAACACCAACCAACTGAGCCACACCGGCCAGGACCAAGTTTCATATATCTTAAAATGAGCTACATCTTATCAGTTCACAGAGTGTCAATAAGAAGTCCTACAAAATGTAAAAATTCAATCAATCAATCAAGGCCAGCTTTCTAGAGGAAATGACAGCCAGTGAAGCCCTGAGGAATGAACAGGAGTTGGGTAGGCAGAGGCTGTGGTGAGGGCATTTCAGGCAGCAAAACCCAGGACGTTCAGAAGCCCACAGCCTGAGAGCTCACAGTACCTCCCAACAACTGGCCAGAGAAGTGTTCCTGATGGCTGGAGGTGTGGAGGGAGGGGGATGGGGCTGCACCAGGAGGCCTGGTAGGCCAACTAAGGATTTAATCTTTAAGCTCCAACCAGTGGTGGTAGGGAGGCTATGGGTTACGATTGCTTTTGGAAAGATCATGCAAGATGCAGAGCCAAGATGGGCTTGGCAGGGGGTATAAGGGCGCAAGACAGAAGCTGGTGGAGCAGTGAGGACACCTGTGCAGATCACCTGGGAGAGTGGTTATGGCGACCTCTGCCAGGGGCCTGGAGAAGGAGGGAGAGATGTGGACAGAACTGAGGGCTGTGCAGTGCAGCACTCACAGGGCTGGGACTGGCAGGATGGGAAGGAGGGGCAAGGACAATAGCTTCCCTTGCCTCCAGCTATGGTGATTGAGTGCCAATGGCTGAGACACAGGGGAAGGGGTTTATTTGGAGGTGTTGGGTGCAGAGCCTCCCTGCAATGCTGAGTGCTCACTGTTCCCCCAGGCACACAGTTTCTCCCTCACCATCTTGTTGGCCTGACTGCAGCCCATGGCTCCTACTCAAGAGGTCCAAAATCCTGGAAGGAGCCATAACTCAATTTGCATCTCTGTCCTACTTTTGTTTATCCTATATCATCCCTGACTCTTGGGCCAAATAGTTCCCTGCTTGGCCCTGGTGTTCTTTTACATAAAACTAGAGGCCCAGTGCATGAATTCGTGCATGGGTGGGGGCCAGCCAGCCGGTCTGGATGGGGGCTGATTGGGGTGGGGCTGGTGGGGGGGAGGGGATGCAGGAGGTTGGCCCCACCCCCTGGTGGAACGCCCGGTCGAACTCTTGGTCGAGGGGACAATTTGCATATTAGGCTTTTATTATATAGGACTAGAGGCCCAGTGCACAAAAATTTGTGCACTTGGGGGCGTCCCTCAGCCCAGCCTATGCTCTCTCACAGTCTGGGACCCCTCGGGGGATGTCCACCTGCTGGCTTAAGCCCGCTCCCCGGGGGATCGGGCCTAAGCTGGCAGTCAGACATCCCTCTGGCAGCCCGGCAGCCCTCGGGGGATGTCCACTTGCCAGCGGGGAGCAGGCCTTAGCTGCAGTCGGACATCCTTAGCACTGCTGAGGAGGCAGGAGAGGCTCCCACCACCACTGCTGTGCTGGCAGCCATCAGCCTTGCTTGTGGCTGAGCAGAGTGCCCTCTGTGGGAGCGCACTGACCACCAGGGGGCAGCTCCTGCACTGAGCATCTGCCCCCTGGTGGTCAGTGCATGTCATAGTGACCAGTCATTCCCAGTCATTCTGCTGTTAGGGTCAATATGCATATTACCCTTTTATTATATAGGATAAAGGCCTGGTGCGTGGGTGGGGGCCGGCTGGTTTGCCCTGAAGGGTGTCCTGGATCAGGGTGGGGGTCCCGCTGGGGTGCTTGGCCAGCCTGGGTGAGGGGCTGATGGCTGTTTGCAGGCTGGTCAAGCCCCCCAGTGAGGACCCTCACCCCATGGGGGTTTGGCCAGCCTGGGTGAGGGGCTGATGGCTGTTTTCAGGCTGGTCACACCCCCAGGCTGGAAGCAGGTATCTGGGATTTATTTATCGTCTATAATTGAAACTTTGTAGCCTTGAGCGGAGCTCAGGGGCGGCAGGGCAGGCGGGAAGCTTGGCTTCCTCCATTGCTCTGGGCAACCCAAACCTCCTGCTCGCTCCAGCTCCATGGCCATCTTAGTTGGGTTAATTTGCATATTTGCTCCTGATTGGCTGGTGGGTGTGGCTTGTGGGTGTAGCAGAGCTACGGTCAATTTGCATGTTTCTCTTTTATTAGATAAGATGAGGGAGGTGGATACATAGAATGCCCTTCCTTAGAGTAGTGGGCAGTGTAAAATGCCACCCAGATCCCCCTTCAGTGAGGACATGCTGCCCCAGATGTTGTGGAGACTGTCAGTAGATGGCTGCCGGCTGTCAGCCTCTGGGAAGTCACACCCTTTCCTGAGAAGCCCACAGGCTACAACTGATTGATGTGTGATTGTAGTAACTTGGCCATCTCAGCCCGGCTTGAGACCACTCTGCAGGGCTGCTCTAGCTCGGAGCTCCCATGTGAGCTTTTTCTTCCCTTTACATCCATCCTTCTGCATACCCACTCACCCATCTAATCACCCATCCATCCATCCATCCATCCATCCATCCATCCATACATACATACATACCTTGTCTATCTGTCCTTCCTTCCTTCCTTCCTTCCCCCACTTCCTACCCTTCCCTCCCCCTCCATCCCTTCCTTCCTTCCTTCCTTCCTTCCTTCCTTCCTTCCTTCCTTCCTTCCTTCATACTTTGTCTTTCTTTCTTTCTTTCTTTCTTTCTTTCTTTCTTTCTTTCTTTCTTTCTTCCTTCCTTCCTTCCTTCCTTCCTTCCTTCCTTTCTTTCTTCCTTCCTTACCTCCCCTCTCCCTCCCTCCTTTCTTTTTTTCCTTCCTTCCTTTCTTCCTTCCATACATTGTCCATCTGTCCATCCACCCATTCATCTCTCTGTCCACCTTTCCTCCCTCCCATCCTTCCCTTTCCCTCTTGTTCCAGAAATGATTCCAGTTTTCCCATCTGCAACATGGGATAATAACTAATTTGCCAAGGTGTAATGAGGTCTCCTGAGATAATGCACACAAAGTGCCTGGTGACATGCAGGTGATAAATGAAGTGTACTTGCTGGTCCTGGTGCCTTTGCTTCCGCCTGTCTCAGTGGTCAGACACCTGCCTGCTCATCTGCCATGGTGGAGAAGAACTCCAGGTGCTTAGGTCTCCAGGATCCACTGCTGCTGTTGGTGGTCAAGGCTGCAGCCCCAGGGTCAAAAGGCTGGACACATGGCTTGGACTCAGAGCCTGTGGAGAAAGGCAGGACGAGGGGTCAGGGCTGAGCTGGGAGGTCTGAGGAGCCCTGAATTCTGCATCTGCCATGGCTCTCCACAGGCCTCAGTTTCCTTATCTCTGAAATGGGATGGTGGTTTTTAGAGAGGAGGAGAGAAAATGGCGGCCCAAATAGGCAGTTGTGTCGGATACCTCGTCCTGGGGCCAGACTAGTAAAACAACTAAATCGCAGAACATCTACCTGGAATTAACAAATTAGACACAGCGGAGAAGACAATTTACAAGGAAGGGCAGAGGACACTCGGAGAATGGTAGGAACGGGGATCTGGGCTAGAGAGGGACAGCTGGCCAGCAGGCCGAGAGGGTGAGGAGGAAGCTAGCTGCATTGCACCAAAGCCACATCCCTTGGCCACAGGCATAACTTCCAACTGTGGAAAGGAAAAGCCACAGGGTTGCTGGTGGCTGGGGGATCTGTACCTAAGACCACAGTTGCGAAAGGCTGCCCCTCGAATGGTGGTCCGAAAGGCAGCCCAAGCAGTGAAATGCTGGGGAGAGAGAAATCCACAGTTTCGTGGTTGTTTTGTCCTTGCTTTTATTCGCTAAACCCCAAACACAGGACTTTTCGATTGCAAACACGCCCCCGAGGCTTCAGCACAGGGGAAGAGGCAAAAGGCACAGACTTGAGATGCCTGAGGAGAGGCTGGGGAGGGAAGTAGGGCGGGAGACGTGGCCAAGAATCCTGCATTGGGACATTCTCAAGCTTCCAAACCTGAGTGGCCATTTCTCCCCAGAAGAGCTAGCCCCTCCCAGTAGCCTCAAGGCAGGTACAGCCTGCCACACCCTGCCTGTATGTTGAGCTATGCCAAGGAAACAAAGGCTCTGAATAGCCCCAAAGAGCCCTCAGTGACTGGATGGAAGAGGGGCTGAATGCCCTGCTATTCCAGGAACCAGACTGATAAAAACTCCAGGTGGCCAGCCAGCCCCATTGGTCTCCATACAAGGATCTCTGACCAACTGAGGCCAGAGTAATATTTTGGGCCACTCATGGAGGAGGAGCTGTGGGCCAGGGAAAAATTCCCATCTTACTCCCTGAAAGCGAAACAGCACCAACCCCACCTGAAGCCCTGTCAGAAACAGACACCTGAGTGACTAAGACTGACAGCTGGCAGACAGGCAGAGGGCAGATTGGCCTCACCTGCTTGCAGCAAGGCCTGGGGGACAGACATAAGAGAGGACCCCTGGATCGCTTGGAGCTTCAACAGGGTGCTAAAGGCCAAAAGGAAGTGACTGACAGGGGCCAGCACCTAAGTACCCAACAGGGAGCCCAGAATCAGCAGACAGAACAGAAGAGTGGGGTCCTATACCAGCTCCCGCGGGGCATTACAACTCGGCAAAGCGAATGACACTCACTTTCTTATTTTTAAATTTTTATTATTAAAATTTTTTTATATTTCATTTTATCTTATTTTATATTTTACTTTTTTGCACCATTTTTCTTCCTCATTTCTCTTTCTTTCCTCCTGTGTTTCTTCTCCTATCCCCATTTTAGTATTTCTCTTTCTTTTCCACCCCTTTTAAAAATGGGAAGTCTTTATCTACTTTATTGATGTCTTAGTATTCTAGTGTCTGTTGGTTTATTCGTATATCTAATTTCCTCTTCCCTGCTCCTACTCCATTTCCCCTTCTCTTTCTTTTCACTAATCAATTTTTTCCTTTATTTTCTCTTCTCTTGCTCTTTTCTTCTCTAATTTTTAACTTGTTTCACTTCCTAAATATAGGCTTATCTGCTCTCTCCTCTATTCTCCTTTTCAAAAAGAGAGAAAAAAGAAAAATTTTTAAATTTTTTCTTCTTGTCTTCTCATTTCTTTTCTCCCTTCTCTATTCTAAATAGGTCCTTGCTCTATTCATCCAAGTCCTCAACCTTGTTTTCTCTATTTAAGCTCTGCATCTATGGATTCTGACCCCCCTTTTTTCTGGGTGTTTTTCGGTTTATTTGTTTGTTTTGTTGTGTTCACAACCCATAGCCTTTTCTTTTCTTCTTGCTATCATTCTTTCTCTCTTTCCTATTTCCAAACTCTTTTCTGTGGTGGTCCCTTTATTGGGGTTATAGATGTCTTGTCTACATTTGTGTTCTGTTCCTTCTGTATCGTGTCTTGTCATATCGTATTTTGTGTTGTTCAGTCAGCACCTCCACAACGGTTGGCATGATGTGGTAGGGAGCGAGCCACATAATCAGATACCCTGAGAGGAGACTGCATCCATGAACAGGAAAATAACATTCCAGACCCAATTCCATCAGGAGAACCTAAATATCTCAAGTAGGAGACCTGAGAGACTGCACCACTGGGTCACACAAAACATCTACTACAAGCATGTCAAACTCATGGCCCACAGGCCACAAGTGGCCCACAACAAATATTTTTGCAGCCCAGCCAATATAAGGGGATGTAAGAAACGTTTTAATAAAAATTTTGTAGCTTAATTTTTATAACATCCTGTTACATAATTATTAATAACAAACTACAACATTCATTAATGACTGATTACTATAATCGTGTTGCATTCATTTCCCTTACGCACCTCACACACAGGTGCACCATTTTTCTCCACTAATAGTAGCAGAGAATATTTTAGTAGCCGACTGCCACTTCACTAGGCTTGTACTGACTTGTTTGGTGTGTGCAACAGGAAATATTTTGCTTTCGAAGAACAAGAAAATTGGTTTATTTGTGTTATGCTTATTAATTTGTGCAATTATTCAGTGTCTGGTAAGTTAATGTTCAAGGAAAATATGAATTTTTATTAAAATGTTCTATTATTTTATGTTAACAATCACTCATTTATTTCAGCTCTTTGTGTTCAGCATGACTCTATTGAAATAAACCTAAGTTTCTATGAAAATTGAAGCTTTTGTTTTTTTGCGGCCCACATAAACTTACACCTTATTTATTTGGCCCATGTTAGCCTTTGAGTTTGGCATGCTTGTTCTACTACATGAGACCAATTCAAAAAATCTGGGTGGCATAGCAGTGTAACCTAATACACAGAACAATTACAAAGGAACAGCAAAAATGGGGAGACAAAGAAACAATCCCCAAATGAAAGAAAAGGAAGAATCACCAGAAAAGGAAATAAATGAAATAGAGGCAAGCAATTTGTCAGAGAAAGAATTCAGAGTAATGGTTATAAGCATGCTCAAACGTCTGGGTAAGAGTCACCAAGTGTAAGAATCAAGAGGAAATGAAGAATGACATAGCTGCAATAAAGAACACGATGGAAGGTTTCAACAGTAGAAGAAGCTAAGGACTGAATCAATGAGTTAGAAGACAAGATAAAAAAAAACACTGAAGCATAGCAGCAACTGGAAAAAAGAATTAAAAAGCAGGAGGAGAGTCTGAGAGAGCTCTGGGACAACACAAAAGGAAACAGCATCTGCATAATAGTGGAACCAGAAGGAGAGAAGTGGAGCAAGGAATAGAAAACCTGTTTGAAGAAATAATGACAGAAAACTTCCCTGACTTTGGGAAGAAAAAAGTCACACAAGTCCAGAAGCACACAGAGTCCCAAACAAGATGAACCCAAAAAGACTGACACCAAGACACAACATAATTAAATTGACAAATGTCAAATGACAAAGTAAGAATCTTAAAGGCTGCCACAGAGAGACAGAAAGTTATCTACAAGGGATCTCCCATTAGACTATCAACTGATTTCTCAACAGAAACACATCAGGCCAGAAGGGAATGGAATGAAGTATACAAAGTGATTCAAAACAAGAGACTGAATCCAAGAATACTCTATCCAGCAAGGATATCATTCAAAATAGAAGGTGAAATCAGGAGCTTCACAGACAAAATAAGAAAAAGCTATGGGAGTTTATGACCACCAAGCCAGCAATGCAAGAAATGCGAAAGGGTCTGCTATAAAAAGGAGAACTAGAAAGGGAAGAAGGCACAGAGGCATAAAGAATTAAAATGGTGACAAACAAGTGCCTATCGATAATAACCTTAAATGTAAATGGGTTAAACGCGCCAATCAAAAAACATAGAGTTGCTGAATGGATAAGAAAAATGACTCCTATATATGCTGTCTACAAGAGACCCACTTCAGAACAAAGGATTCACACAGACTAAAGTAAAGAGATGGGAAAAAATTTTTCTAGGAAAAAAATAGCTGGGGAAGCAATACTTATATCTGACAAAATTGACCTCAAAGTGAAGGCCATAACAAGAGATAAGGAGGGGCACTTCATAATACTAAAGGGATAGATTCAACAAGAGAATATAACTCTGATAAACATATGCACCCAATATAGGAGCACCCAAATACATTAAAAAAAAATCTAGATGATATCAAGGGAGAGATTAATAGCAATACAATCCTCATAGTAGGGGACTTTAAAACCCCATTGACATCACTGGATAAATCTTCTAGTCAAAAAATCAGCAAAGAAACAGCAATCCTAAATGACTCACTAAATCAGATGGAACTAATTGACATCTTCAGAACTTTTCACCTGAAAGCTATGGAATATACATTCTTCTCAAGTGCACATGGGACATTTTCAAAGATAGACCACATATTAGGACACAGGATAAGTCTGTACAAATTCAAGAAGATTGAAAACATATCAATCATCTTCTCAGACACAATGGCATACAGTTAGAAATAAACTCCAATAAAAACAATAAAAACAAACACATGGAGGCTAAATAGCATGCTATTAAACAATGAATGGGTTACCAAAGAGATCAAAGCAGAAATTAAAAAATACCCTTGAGACAAATGACAATGAAAACACAATAATTCAAAATCTATGGGACACAGTGAAAGCAGTACTGAGAAGGAACTGCATAGCATTACAGGCATACCTCAGAAAACAAGAAAAACGTAATAAGTTATCTAAGCCTACAACTTAAAGAACTAGAAAGAGAGCAACAAGAAAAGCCCAGAAAAGTACAAGGAAGGAAATAATAAAGATCAGATGGGAAATAAATGACATAGAGACTAAAAAA